GAGAGATGGGGGAGAAAGAGAGGGAAGGGGGGGGGGAGAAAGAAAGATCACGACCGCAGTTTATGCTCATCAGCGATGTGGGCTTGTAAGAGTTTGCTCAATAGTGTCGCTGGGACACATTAGTATGTTACCAGCTTAATCTACCACTCAAAAGTTTAGGTTTTGAACCTGGGTGGGGTTTGTAGCATCAGTCAAAAATAGTTCCGCCACTGAGCCCTATGTCCTGACGAGGAACTAAGCTCTCTATCGCTGAAATGGTTTCCAAGAAAACAACAACAAAATCAATCAGAGCAGAATCAATAACAACAACAGCAACAACCACAGAAGCAGCAACAATAATAACAACAGCAACAACAACAACAACAACAACAAGAGCAGCAACAATAATAACAACAGCAATAACAACAACAACAAGAGCAGCAGCAATAATAACAACAGCAATAACAACAACAACAAGAGCAGCAACAATAATAACAAGAGCAACAACAACAACAGGAGCAGCAACAACAATAACAACACCACCACCATCACCACCATCACCACCACCACCACCAACAACAACAACACCAACAACAACATCAAAAACAACAACAACATCCACAACAGCAACAACAACAACAACAAAACGACTTCTGTTGGACTCTTAGTAGGAGTTTGAAATGAGCCAAGGCACACCTAGTGGTTTCAAGAAAGCACAGCCACAGGAAACAAGAAATAGCCATTAGATCTATTCGGGGAAGTCAAAGGGGGATTGGACTACCTCACACGTTTTTAACCCTGTCCGTACATCGTGTTTTACTATCGTATCCATACGAAGTGGGGAACTCTGTGCCACCACTTTCAAATAGGAAACTTACTCGTTAATCCGTTCCGTACGCTTTGCATAGCAGTCTGTCGAAATGATTTTTTGAAAGAGATCTTCGTACGAGAAATATTCTAAAATGTGAAGAATACAACCCCGGGGGTACAAAATGACCCCACGGTGTACAGATAGGATTAAAGAAGCAGTGGCCCAGGCATTGACCCTATCACCGTCAGACTTGCTTTATAAATCCTTCTAATTAATTCAAAACAGTCTCGAACCTGGCAGTGAAGGGGTTAAGTACTCTTCTCGAAGTCGCAAGAGGCACAGCAGACACATTACTGACAGACTCCTTTGCCCTCTTCCCCTTCCGTACCCGTCGGCCACACAAACAGCAACAACAACAGCAACAATAACTACAACTTTTTTTATATTTCAGTAGGAGTTTTACGTTATTTGCAACAGAATTAGGTTAAAAAGGCCGAAGATTAGAGGTGTTGCAAAAGAATAACACACTTAAAAACGAAGGAGGAGAGATAAGGACGACACCACAACAACAACAACAACAACAACAACAACAACAACAACAACAACAACAGCAGCAGCAGCAGCATCAGCAGCAACAACATCAACAACAACAATCAGCAAAAAGATCTACAACAACAACAGCAGCAGCAGCAGCAACAACAACAAAAACCACAACAATAAAAACAACAATAACAACATAATATACAACAACAACAATAAAAACCATAACACCAGCTGTAGCAGCAGCAGCAGCAGCACCAGCACCAGCAGCAGCAACAACAACAACAACCACAACAACGATAATGCAGCTGTGTATTAATAAAGATATTATGGTTGTTTTACCTCCTATTGAGGAAAACAAAACATTACAGAAAAGATACTTGTGATTTGGAGCTGCGAGTTGTTGATGTTGCTGTTGTTTTGTGTTTTGTTTTTTTGTTTGTTTTGTTTTGTTATCTCTCTCTCTCTTTCTCTCTCTCTCTCTTTCTCTCTCTCTCTCTTTCTCTCTCTCTCTCTCTCTCTCTCCCTCT